TTTTTTTTTTTTTTTTTTTTTGCCACTATTCATTCTTCTTTGGTCTGGAAAATCAAACCACTGTCTTCTCTCAGGCATAATTTTTTTTGCCAGCAATCCTATTATTCAGTATTTTAACTTCTAAATGACAACACTTGTCTGAACTTCTCACACTGTATATAGATAACAAAAGGTCAATTCCTCTATGTGTGTTTCAAGTTCACTACATTATTAGATATTTCAGAAACGTGTTATAGAGTAACAAATTCACAACGTGTTTCCTGTTGGACATATTTATTGCTGAGTGATTGAAATTTTCCTGAAGTTTACACAGTTTACATTAATTTCTCTAACAGCTCACATTGCATCACAGTGCTCTCTCTCCTGATTGAAAAAGAAAAAAAATATGTTTTTATTTGTTTGGAAGGTTTTAAAGTCAGAGCTTAAATTGGGAGTTTCACAAACTTCTAGAATAACCAGAATACATGTGTCAGTTTCAAAAGGACTACTGTGCAAGTGTTTCTACCTTGAATAAAGGAGTCTGGTGCTCCTTCCTGGGGTGGTACAGGGGAGCTGAGGAAAAGCTACCACACCATGAAACAGAGCCCTGTGTGACCATCTCCCTTGCCTCTAACAAGCAGCAAAGATCTAACTGTGACCAACAGTGCAACAGTGCCTCCTCTGGGAATTTGCTGGTTCTACAGAGAAGCCCCTCTGATCGCTGCCCCTCCCCCACCTTGTCATTCTGCAGGCATCATTAGTGACAAAGTTTCCAGAGCAATTGAAAATGCAAATGTCTGCCTGCGCATTTATTTCTTATTATACTATAGATTTTTCATTAATATAGACGTTGCTTCCTGCTCTTTTGTAACTGTTCACTGAAACTTGAAGCCTTTCATGGAAATAATGGAAATCACACTTGGCATAAGGTAAATCCAAGTGCAAATTAAAATTTAAAATTGAAAAAGCCATGATTTCTTATAAGAAAAATATAAAGAGAAAAACCTGTGAGTACATTTAGTTGTTACATAAATAACTCAGAACATCTGTGCTTTGTTACTATACTTTTAAATTTATATAGGCTTCTCTCCTCCAATATAAACTATGTAACTTTCTCCACTTTATTTCTTTTTCTTATAGTAGTGGTTATCTGTGGTTCGGCTAAATCGGCTCAATAATTCACTTAGGGAAGTTTTTTCCCCCGTGCTTGATAAACAGATGCACACTACAGTCTCTTATTCATTTCCAGGGCCCCTGCTTGTATACTTAGGCTAGTAATCAGTTGGAGAGTGTGGTCTGTGGTTATAATGTTGTGTGGCCTAGGGAGCTAATGGATTTCATCATGGTTTCATTACAGAGAAATCTCATATCACAACAAGTTCCAAGACTTACTAATTGAGGTGGAATTTCACCAAAATTAAAGACAAAAATGTTATGAAAAAACTTTAAATAGTATTAAGAGTCAGTTAATTGCCTTGTGAGATAGTAAAAATGAAATTTTGAACTATAATAATAGCAGACATCTTTAAGTGGTAGGATTTATTAGTAACAACCTATAATGTGCAGCTGTTATGTTTGCAATTTTGACAAACAAATTGGTCCCATTTATTTATTTTATATTCTAAAATACTTTTATAAATTGAAGCCCTATGGCTAAAATTCCCTGTAGAATATTGTTCAGTTCTTCAGTGGAAATGGTTAACTTTTTAGTGTACTAACTCACTTTTTGATGGTCAAGGTATTTTAGTTGAAAGAAGGTAATCTTAATTTGGATACTGTGCTTTGTATATTTTTTAATATAGTAAAAGAAATTTGTTAGAAAACAGGTTCTTTAACCCGTTGCCTTTACCCTGCCATCCCTGTCCTTCTGAAAAACAATCAAAATTATTTTCTACCTTAAAAATTTCAAGTTAAGTTTGAAATTTTTAAAAAAAAATATGATTGCACACCCTTTACTCATGAGAAACATGGGAAATCAAAGGGAGTGACTACCTAAATAATACTTAGCAAATATTAAAAACACTGCCATCATTTCTTTGAGCTCACTACCATCAGTAAGAGCTATGTGACCTTGGGCATTTCATTAAGATTCTGTAGAATTCATTTCTGTGGCTTATGTTTCTCATCTGTGGTTTTATCAACACCTTACAGTATCATGGGCAGAATATTTGTGAATTCTTCATGTTTTTCTCTAACATGAACTCTCAAGAAAACCAAAGTATTGCATTCCTAACACTGAAGTGACATTTTCTTTGACTATTTCATAGAAATTGCCCTTACTAGCATGCTTGTAACAACATAGTCGGAAATGAAATGTGACAAATACCCTGAAAGGTTTCTTGCTTCAGTCTTTTCTCAAATGCAGAATTCTTGTGCTCAGTCACAAACTGAAAGATATTATAATGTATTTTTTTTGTAAGAATGTATTAAATGATTCTACTCTATAAATAAATAAAAGCAACAATGAGGATGTAATATCCATTATGCCAAGCCAACTACTCTAACTTTGTGGACCTAGATGATAAAAGCAAGGTCCTCATTGGTGACAAGTACTTGCTATTCTGGAGAAGTAAGGATTAATGAAGCTCTTAAAGTATATTATATGGAAATTCTTCCTTGAAATTATGTCATGCCACTTTCTACTAAGGATTATGTGCAAGGCAACAAACAGTCTTTTTTCCAGACTTAGCTAAAGAACCAGTAGTGAAAAACTGCTGTAATGCAATCCTGATTCTGTAAAATACCTCCTAACTACTTTGTTCTTATATTTCTGCTTTTAAGCTAGTGTGTTGTTTGTCTTTCATAAGGAGTCATTAATAATGTATTGCTTGTCAAAGTGTACTGAAAGTTTAAAACAATCTTGGACATGAAAATTCCTCCCAATAGAACAATAGCACAATAGTTCTTTATTTGTTATTGTTATAGCCATATTTTTATTAGTGATTATTAATAATAAGAAAAGAAAACATCCCAAGGAATAGCAATTAGATTCTGAATCTGTTTGTCAGGAAACTATTAGGGATTTGTTTCTCAGTCTCATGGTTCATATTATTAAATGCATTAACAGTCTTCAAATAAATTGTTCTACTATTACGCTTCTTTAAAAAATGCAGTTTATCATTATGTTTACTTTACTATTACTCTTACTTTTGGACTACCATGCTTTATCTTATCATTAACTTTACTAATTTTAAAGTGCTAGGCCTTCTTTCTTTAAATCTATAATATCAGTAGAAAATAAATTATGTCTTAGTGTGAGATCTATTAACTATATTAAAGCAGTTTCATAACTAGGCTTCATGCAGTTGCTCCTTGCCTAGAGTATAGTGCATCTGGAAGCACAAGTTCTTGAATTGAGATAATCTGCTGCTTGTTTATAATGTACATAAAAATATAATACAATTTCTACAAAATATTGGCCATTTATCTATTTCCTTCATATTATATACGCTCACACATCACATGTGTTTCTATAAAGCATTTATAGAATGCTTTATATATGTGCTTTTTTGAAAACACAGTAATAAATATATACATTGACAATCTTTTCATTGCTTTTCATATTTGTTTCTCAATTAATGTGTCTATATATAAGCGAGAATAATCTTGAATGTTTAATGCTCCTGCCTCAGTCGCCTAGGTGCTAGAGTCAGAGAGTGCACCTCCATGCACTTTTACTTTTAGCTGTGAACCTAACCTTTCAAAGGCTGAACCATGTATCCGGCTCTTAATGTGTTCTTAGGTATGTTTTAAAAGTTCATATAGTTATCTGCTAATGTGCAGAGGCTGAACATGAGCTGCTAGACACTGCTTATCATGTTCCTAGTATGCTAACTTTAATTCAGATGACTCAGGCTCCAGGCGATTTGCACTTTTTCTGATTGATAAAGTGCTAAAGTATAAAACCTTTTACTATTTTTTTTTGGTTAGTGATGGGCCTTCAATCATTGCTTCTAACTATAAATAAAATGTTTGGTTAAGAGCATGGTATATACTTGTTTAGATTTTAAAAGTGGTTTCACAGAAATTATAAGAAATGAAAATACTCAAAAATTATAACAATGATTTCATCTTGATAAGATGGTATTCTCTAGTAAGCCTAAATATCTAAAATAATATTCTCTGAAATCATTCTTTACAAATATAGTGAAACTAATGTATGGAACAAAGTGGTTTCTAATGCAGTTATTTCAGTTCAAATAACTGATGTTGGTTAAATAAATGCTGTCAGATTGATTGATGTTTAACATTTTCTTTTTTTCTCTAGCTTCAATACATTTAACATTTTCTTTCCAAGGTTCTGATATTTAATCTGACTGATTTGTAAGTGTATTGTGCTTATCATAGTATTATTTGTAGTGAAATTTCATATAAACAACTTCAGAAAAATTAAATAAAATATAAATTACAAAGATATTTTAAATTTCTTTCAATATAAGGAATTGATTTTTTTCAGTTAAAATGTTCTAAATCTTGAATTGTGTCAAAAATGATCACAATATATAGAAATTACCTCCTTTTTATATCAGTACATTTGTTTACACTTTTTCTGAGCCATCAGTATAAAAGAGGTCAGTTTTTCAAACACTTGGGAGTTTACGACCTAAGTTAGTTATTTTTCTAGGACAGGATATCCAGACAAGGGCATGGACACTGAAGTCTCTGCTTATTTCTGACATGGAGTTTTTGCTAGCATGTCTTGTAAAACTCACATAAATGAGACGGCAGCAGGAAAATTAGTGCAGCTCGTAGAAGATAAGGCAAGATGTAGCATTCTTGCTTTGGGACACAGATTAATTGAGAATATCTTATAATGAAATATTGAAAAATATAGCTTTTCTAGTGCTTAAAGTCATTCACATGCATAAATAGCACCGTGACACCATCACCATTATACATATCATCAGAACACAGGAAAACTGTCTGGAGCAGTTACACAATATTGATCAAATTTCAAATATGAGCTATTTCTGTTTGATAACCATATGCAGAAATAACTCCAGGGTTGTTGTTAAACTTTTGTTTATCTTTATTGAAGTAAAAATTAGTGATAGCTTTGTCTTCCATGATAGGCCACCTCAGTGCACAATGAGTTTGACAAAATGCTATGTGGTCATTTTATCTTAAGAATCACATTGGTTTGCAAAGGAAGCAAAGCTATAGAGAATGTTGACCATAAAAAAAAAAAAAAAAACTATTGATGAATTAGACATGAACACAGTAAGTTCATAGGACAATTATATAGATAATATTTTCTTATTTTCAAAACATTTCTGTAAGGCATATTATAGACACATCTATCTGTATCCAACAGAAACCAACTGTTCAATCTTGTATACAAAGCAATTTAAATTATTCTGGTGTAATATTTCAGGCTTAAAGAAAAATAAAAATGATTAAGAGCATAATATAATTGGAATACTAGAGCAAATGTACTGTAGTTGTCTACAAAATGATTGATATTCATTACTAGTTTAGAATTGTCAGAGATTTCATATGTTTACTTTTTATGTGTGGTTAATTTTTCACTGAATGTCTAGCGTGTTTTAAATTCCACAGTTACAATAACAAAATGTATATACCTGTGTATTAAGGTTAACAATCATTTTATCTACTTTTTAAATCCTTTATTTAAACAAGACAGCATACAATTTTCAGGTATCTTTCCTTCATTAATATTATCTCAAGAGTCATGATGTGTTCAGTTATTAGCCTTTTCTCATCTCTATGTTCTAGTTGCTCTGATCAATCTGCAATATTTTTGTGTAGATGAGAAAAAATCATCAAAAGACAATACAAGTAATTGAATAAGACTTTACAGAGCACACTGTGCTTCAGAAGAAAGCCAAGTGCTTCTTCTACATTCTGATTCCATTTTAAAGTTCTTAAATTCTCCACCATTAATTAGTCACAATAGGACTTTCATCTCAGTTTCACAGTAAAAGTGGCCATATTACTCCTAAGAAATTGCCAAAATCCTAAATGTAAGGCTTGGAAAAAATACCTCAGACTTTGTAATGTTATTTATTCCAGTCTTTTAATTTTGTACATACAGAAAATGAAATCACAGAGGTACCTAAAGTTGTAAAGTAAGACTCCAGTTTTCTGGCCCCATTATTATTATGCCCTCTTTCTCCATGTTCAGTGGATATAGTTGATTAATTTAAATCCACTTCAGTTTCAATCCAGTATTTGGTTTAACAAAAATAATGTCTTTTGATAGTAATTAAAAGCTTCCACAAGCAAGTATTCATCCATGTGACTGCTTTTGATTCATGAGTGTGTGGTGCCCTGACATCAAATCTCCCTTTTTAGAATGTTTTTTTTTTCTTTTAGGATAAAAGGTATGTAAATAATTTTACTATTGATAACATCGAAATAAAAGATAATGTCAGTTCACTAACAACCTTCTATGTTCCAATAATTTTTCAAAAACAGAAAATAATGATGACAATAATAACTCTAATAGCTATTTTTATCCACCTCTGAACATGCCAAGAATTATGCTTACCAGTTTATAATTTTTTACATTAATCCAGATGCTATTGTTATTATTATGAAAAGCAATTATTTTCATCATGTAGGCTAATGTGCTTGAGGCTTTAACTCAGAGCTTATCAAGTTTCTTCTAATTTTTGTTATCAATTACCACGCAACTTAAACTTTTAAGCTTAATTATGCATTGTTAAGTTTAATCTGAATGTATCAGAGGGAAACGCCCTTACCACCTCCAAGTTCTGAATTCCAAAAATAATTTGCTGTTAATGTTTATTTATTTTAAAAGTTGGATATATTTTCATGATGAAATAATGTCACAAAACCCTCTTAGACATATCATAATCTATGTAATATAATTTGGTTACCATGCATTTATTTTTTTTTTTGTCCTAAGGAGAAATCTAGTTTTAATAAAAATGTAATTCTTCTGAAAAAATGAGAGCTGAGAACCTGGAACTCTTCCTTATTTTGTGCCCATATGACTACTTTGATCACAACATCATCGTGGTGCCCAGAAATCACGTCTGCTGCTAGCTTCTGGAAAGGCAGACTTGCTTTATATCTGCTTACCCACTCTCACTGCACACTTGTGCATTTATGAATATTTCTCCTAATCCATTATGTTTGAAACACATAATAAGTCACAGAGTAGTTTCAATCTATTCTGTTGCATATTAGCTTTCCTGTCTCATTGTGTTTTTGTACCTTATTTCACCCTTCCTCTTTTCCTCCTCTGGTTTCTATGTAACTTTGCCTTCAGTCACAGGATTTGGGGACCTTGAATTTACTGCAGGCTATAGGTCCTATAGTTAATAGAAATACCCAATTTTGTTGGTTACCAGAATGCATCTTTTTCTATCATTCTGAAATACTCTATGGGATAACAAAACTTTATAGAAATATATTTTTAAAGTTATATGATAGTTTTTACAGAGCTAATGGTCAGTTGGATTTGTTTCTTCTTCAATTTGTGAACTGGTTTACTGTCTAAAATATTTGTCTATTGAGTGATATACATGTTTGTTATTGAGTATATTGTAAAAAAATATGAAAGATAGAAAAATTTCTAATGATAACGCTGTTTTTGCTTTAATATGTAGGGAACTTTTGGCTTTAAAATATTGATATGTTATCTACTCTCAAAACACTCATACACACAACATACACACACTTATACCCAGAGAGAGAGAAAGAAAGAGAGAGGGTGGGGAGAGCCTTCTATATTTATCCTGTTGTTGATTTATTTATAGAAAGCAAAGTTAATTTGCAGAGTGCAACACAGTCATGTAAGTGAGACTCTTGTAATAAATTCTTATCCCTCTGTGTTTTGGGGGTGTATAAGGAATTTGTTTTGTAACTAATTTTGCAACTCTTGCATTATTAGGGTTTCGTTCCTGCAGTAAATAGAAACCAGAGTAAGTTTTTTTTTTTTTTTTTCTGATGCGGTTTCTGAGCTGGCTGCAAGCCAAAAATCAATAAGTTTCACAAATATAGTTGCTTTCTTTCTTATTTATTGTGCATTATGAGTCAATTCTGTTTCTGCTTATGGAGGAAGGCCACTATTCAGAAATCATAAAATAAAAGCATTTAATAAAGATTCATGGAGTAGCAAATGACTAAGTTGAATAGCATACCAACCATATTGCACAGTGCACATGATAAGTTTGAAGAGCAGAAAATGGAAGGCACTAAGCTTTTCAGGTGATCACAATCAAATCAGAACACATCAAAACAGCTGATGTTCTGTGACTCAGAATCAATCTGTCAGTTTGAATCACCATGTATTTTATTTCTCTTTACTGTTTCACTGGAGAGATTTAAGCTGACATAGAGACTTCCCATTTGCTTGAACCCCTGCTCTGAGATAATTAGTTTTTACATACTAATAATAATGAATGCAAAAAAAAAATCTATAAAGAGGCTAACTTTAAAATCATGTTTTAAAACAACATTCTACATGTAGAGTAAATCAATGCCTTAGAAGAATCATGGAAATTGTGCTGTGGAACAAAGATAATTCTACAAATGGCAGAATTAGGTAATTTATAAACGTGGATGCTATTATTGTAATATTCTAAGTGTATGTATTAATGTTTTAGTGATAATCCAAATGCTCTTTGGGGGAATTCAGTATAGTTAACAACTGAATTTTTAGCAATATTACATATTCTAGTTTCTGACACAATCTTCTGTCTTTGTTCTAGGTAACTATTACACCATTCCTTGGCAAGGGCTACTCAGCACTGCTTACCTCTTCCAGTGCAACACTCTACAGATTATTTTCTCTGGATTCCGAGCTGACACACTGCTGGAGGCAAAAGCTACGAGGCCAGCTAGAACTGTGCCTTTTCTCTTCTCAAGATTTTTTTCTTACACAGCAAAAAGAAAGAAAAAAAGATGAAGCTGGGCAAAGCAGAGTTGTGCCATTTTCTACAGCTTGTAGGTCTCTTTTTATGTTTCTCTGGGACGAGTCAAGCTGAACCGCCAAGGTCCAGATCCAAGCTGTATTTTCAGTCAGGGAGGTCCCGAACGAAGCGCAGCTGGGTATGGAATCAGTTCTTCGTGCTGGAAGAATACATGGGCTCAGATCCCCTCTATGTAGGCAAGGTAGGAAATTTGGCCTTTCAAAGTTCAAAATGGTTACTGCCAATACCTGGAATGGATGAAGAGTTGCCCATTTGTATTCAGTAAAAGAGTTTATGATATTTCTTTCATTTACTACTGTGTCAGGTGGGATAGTGAGGACATAGCTTAAGGAGTGGTACTTTTGTTTTAAATCTTAGAGGCCTGGTTTATCACTATTGGAACGTGCTGTTAAGCTCTTATTACCATAAATAGAATAAGATGACCCATTAAAGATGAAGTGATATACTTCTCCGACCAGTTAATATTGAAAGGTTTTTACCAGTGTATAATTATTGGATATGATGAGTTTCAGTATGAAATTTTCACTCATGTATATAATGAATTTTGACCATATTCAAAGCCACATCTAGTACTCTCAAGAAATTCCTTCTTCCTACTTCCATTGATATACTTTGCTTTCCCAGCTAGTCCCCCAACTACTTTCATCGTTGTTGTTTGCTGTGGGTTTTTTGTTTGTTTATTTATTTGCTTTGCATTGTTTTATTGTTTTAATCCACTAAGTTTCATCATGGTTACCCACAAGAGCATGGTTGAGAAGTTGTAAAGTTGTTTAGAAGAGTATCCCCAATTTACCAGTATCTATGCCGTGGAAGAAAACACCTACTCCTCTCTCGAAACATTTCATTTGATTCTCTAATAACTAGTTTTGTGATATCTTATCAATTATGCCTACATTCATACTTATGTATCTTTACCCATTCTTAGCATTACAGTTTGTAATATGAAATATTTTGACATCATTGTTTCAATTATAAGCAGTTCAAATCCAAGTTCTTAGCTATCTTCTTTTCATAAAACTGCTTTTTTTTTTTTTGCTTTTCAGAATGTCCCTCTTTTGTTAAATATGAGCATGAATCAAATTCAATGTGAGATGCTATTAGACAAATGATCAGCAGTTCATGGTATTTGTATTGCTGCAGATTTTGATTTTAATTTTCATTTTTTTTGTCAAATGTTCCTTTGAGAATTCAGTGACCTAAAGGGCATATTACAAGAACATGGCCTGATGCTCACTTTTCTTAGATCTTCTTCTCAGGTGATAGGCTTTTCATAGTTTAAGATGTTCTAAGTTCCTCAGTGTGGCAGTCAGCACTAGTAAATATTTCTGAATAGGATAGATCAGTAATTAGACTAAACAGCTGTATATCTTCCTCCAATCTCACTAGTTTTAAGCATATATTAATCATAAAATGTAGCATAGTTTACTAACACAGTTACTGAGAAATCAGGACTTTTTTTTCACTAGAAAGATCAATAACGAATATTAGATATTTTATGTTGATGATTTTTTACATGAATAAGTTTAAGTATTTTTAAAAATTATTGAGTATTTGCTTAGTTCAAGGAATTTTTTTCAAATATTTCTCATTCATCCATTAATGTTTAGGATTCTGATTGAATCTCTATGGCAAACAGAAATATGTAAATATGTAACTAGATCAGGACTCAGTTTGGACCAGGGACTTGCATTTTCCTTAAATAAAAAAGTGTAGCCAGTGGGCAGGGGTACACACCTTTAATCCTAGCACTCAGGAGGCAGAGGCAGGCAGATCTCTCTGAATTCAAAGCTAGCCTGAGTGAGTTCCAGGAGAACCTTCAAAGATACAGAGAAATCCAGTCTTGAAAACAAAAAAAAAAAAAAAAAAAAAAAAAAAAAAAAAAAAAAAAAAAAACAAAACAAAACAAAAAAAAGTGTGTGTAAATATTAAGGAATATATATTATACTAATTCACTTGTGCAACTATTAAAATCATTATGCTTTATATGTGACAAAATTTCTCACAATCCATTTTAACTTGCTTCCCTGCACAAAAATGATACTGGCAAAATCACATACCACAAAGCAATGACACCAAACAATGATGTGACTCTGATCCCACTATGCACCTGGTGGAAGAAAGAAACTAAACCCTGAAAGAAATACTCTGAATACCTACCACCCATGCATAGAAACATAAGTCACTAATTAATAAATAAAAATGTTACCACTTGTGTATCCTAATATGGGTCACTAATCAATTAAAAATAAGGTTACCACCCATTCATCTTAAATGGGTCACTAATTAATAAATAAAAATGTTATCACCTGTGTATCCTAATACGGGCCACTAATTAACAATAAAAATGTCAGAAAATTAAAAATAGTGAAAATAGTAATTATAATCCAAGGTTTTGACCAAGAATCTATCATTTTATGCTATCTAACATATGAATTAAACTTTCTTTAGTCTTTCTTAAATAGATCATGATGTTCAAATCATTTCTATACAGAATGTGTTCCACAAAACTATATTATAACCATGTTTAGTTACTGTTAGAAACAACAAAAATATTCCTCATACCTTTATTTAAAGCCAAATTATCAGGGCCCAGTTGACATTTTTAAATTGGCACCATTATAAAATTCTAAAATTATCCCTCTTTATGTCTCTTATAATAATTCAGAAAGTAGCTGTAGCACTAAACAAATCAATTTAAATTACAAAAACTCTACAAAAGAACTCCTACAGCTGATAAACAACTTTAGTAATGTGGCAGGATACAAGATCAACTCCAAAAAAATCAGTCGCCCTCTTATACACAAAGGATAAGGATGCAGAGAGGGAAATCAGAGAAGCATCACCTTTCACAATAGCCACAAATAGCATAAAATATCTTGGGGTAACTCTGACCAAGGAAGTGAAAGATCTATGACAAGAACTTTAAGTCTTTGAAGAAAGAAATTGAAGAGGTTACCAGAAAATGGAAGGATCTCCCTTGCTCTTGGATTGGGAGGATCAACATAGTAAAAATGGTAATTCTCCCAAAAGCAATCTATAGATTCAATGCAATCACCATCAAAATCCCATGAAAATTCTTCACAGAACATAAGAGGACAATAATCAACTTTATATGGAAAAACAAAATTTTTGAAAGAAGTCACATGTCAAAAGTTTTAAATTCATTTCAACTAAAAATAGAAAAGTGTTAATGATATTTAACAAGAATCCATTAATTTGGCTCTTTATACTTATGAGTATAACATCCTTAGCTTGAGGCTATAATTGGACATAATATTTTTGAAAATATTCATTAGCTTTTCAGCAAATATAAAGACTATATCTCATAAACAATATATCTTACAACTATTTACATGGCAATCAAGTTACATCAGTAATCATAATAATCTAGAAAATATTTAGATTTTAGGGAGGACATTTGCAAGTCATATGCAAATACAGAAGGTCTTAAGCATGTTTGGATTTTGGTATCTATGGGAAAATCTATCAAGTTCATTTAAAATATTATTTAATTACAATACAATTATTTTACATATTTTAGTACCAGCTACATATTCCATAGTTTGGTTTTGGCTGTGGTAATTGGATGTTCTCAGAACATTTTTATATGTTTTGATTAAATTTTTTTCATAGAGTGATTGAAATTCTTCAGGTTTGTTTCAGACAAAGCAGGTGTTTGTCTACAAACTAGAGAAGCATCTCCTGAACTGTTGACAAATAAAAAGAAAAGGCAGTTAGAATCATGTGTGATGAAGAAGTGTGGCAAGGCAATTCTCGTTTCTAGTTTGACTAGATTTCCTCCCTTCTGAAGGATGAACTCAGTAGGGTAATTATTCAAAATGGCGCTGTCTTGCTGGAACTGTAATTTAAGTACCAGAAGCAAAGTGGTTAACATTATCCTAGAAAGTTTTGTATATAAACACTGTACAATTATCTGATAAGAAAAATTCCTTTCGTATCTTGGCTTAGTTAAAATGCTGACATATTTTAAGGTACTTAGCCTGAAACACACAAACAAAATTTGGCCCATACATGCGTAATGTTCTACAGATGTGAGTTTGAAAGATTTGTGATGATGACTAGTAGAATTAGTCAAACCATGTTCAAATTAGATTTTTCTGATTTGTGAGTCATTTAAGGGTCCACATTGGAGTCGAATATGTATGGATAGATTACATATTCTGCATTTAGTTCTCTCAGATGAAGAATAAATAGGAAAAAACCATCCACTTTCTTTATATCATATCCAAGAATCTTCATTCTGAGTTGCACATTTTTCTTATTTCTGGCATAGTATACATAATATTCTGAATTGAATCATCACAGAGTTGTTACACCTTACTTATTCAAGAAGAGCAGAGATTGATAAAGTCCAGGCAAATAGATAAAATTTAATTATAAAGCAGAGCATAAACCCTACAAAATATCAATAAAATATAGTATAAATATCAATAAATATATATTGTTAAACTGGTATGGATTCATTTACAAAACTAAAGCCATACATAGAGTCTGTAAGGAAATATACTAAAATAAGAAAGGGTCTCATATACATAAACTTGAATTTGTAATTTTTCTAAGGATAGCATCAAAGGCTGGGATATAATTTAAGGCTTGATTTTCACAGTTAACCTCAGAATTTATTACAGAGGATAATTTTCAATATGATTGAGCATTATAACCCCTAAAAGTAGACATTTATCTATGATGGAGCAGCTATCATCAGGGAATTTTGTAGATGAGTTTAACAGTATAATGGTCCAAAACAAGAACATTTTCCCAGTGGTTAGGTTATTTGTGGTAAATATGAGAAAATATCATGATAAAAATATATTTGACTAAGTTCTCAGGGCTTTGATAAGAGGACAGTGTTCACTATACTTCAGAAAAATATTTTATAGTGTGTATGTGTCTGATCAAAAGGTGTATGTGAATAACTTATATCCTGAATACACACACACACACACACACACACACCGGCATATATGTATATAATATACATATGTATATATAAATATATATTATTTAAATGTTAGATCTGGTTAGGGATTAAAATTCCTTAGCCCTTCTTTCCTGAACAGAGAATTCTTCATTATGCATTCCCAATGATTGGCTAATCATTCTCTGCCTCATTTTTTAGCATGCATAGGAGTTGTGAAAGCAATAATTTCAGAGGCATGT